GTTGCGAGTTCGAACTTGGTGGTCCTACATAATGCCACAGGTAGCTCATTTTTTTGTATTTTCTTGCCAATCTTCCAGGCACTCTAAGAGGTCATCTTATCACAGTACTTTCCTGTCTTCATGCTATAGGCTTTGTAAAGCGCCTTCTTTGAATGGCGGATACCGTACTTGAACTTTGAAGCCTGATTCGGGCTCAGCTACACCTATTAGGACTGACTTGGCCACCTTGCTATCGAGTGAGTTGAGTGCTTCTATTCAGAGCTGCTAGGGCGAAGACCGCCAAAAGCAGCAAATGTGGTTAGCCAGTGCCCAGAGACAAGGTATACTTTGGAATCATTGATTTTAACGTTGATTTCGATAGCCTTGGAACGGCATACACGAAATGGCTTTCTATCCATGCATTTGCAAACGTGAAAATGTATAGGAATCATCGGCAATCCGAAAGAGAAGACACAGAGTGACAAGTAAGAGGGGGGAACGCATGACAACCACACCACCACCGTATAAAATTACCAGCAGGTCACAAGTCAATGGTACATCCCTCCTACCAAGCCTTCCAGAGTAATCATCATCCTGTGCTTAGCTTCTGCTCATATACCAAGGATCTATCCTAGCCCTCTCTGTCTCTTGTTTCGGGAGTTCCTATTCTCGTGCGGCTTTCCAGCCGTGTAAACCTCGTTCCCTGGGCTAGCGAGGTTGACGACGTGAACGTTTCGCCTCAAGAATCGGGGTCTTGAATGGTTCCCCCGCATGCTGCCCACTCGGTAGTGCACTAAGATGCTGTGCGAGTCTGGTTCAACAACCTTTGTACAGCGAATGGCATGGTCTAAGTACATGGTTCATGAAGGAAATAAATTCTTTGTGAGTCGAAGCACGAATGGCATAGTCATTCGACGTAGACCAATGATTTCCGCGAATCAAATGTTCAAACTAGGCGCTGAATTGGAGAAAAGTTGGAAATTCTTTGTACTGATATTAATTCGTATGGTATCGATGTGTTCAACCTACTCCAATAGCGTACACGGCATGCTATTACAACGAAGAGTGAGGTGAGCACGTGACTAGACCCGGCTGTGTCCGACGGCTAAGAGAAAGCCACAAGAGAGATCGAATTCAGGTCTGGATACCTCAGTTCAAGGCGCCTCTACTCTAGTTGGGGCTTTCTTGGCAAGCCAATCTAGTAGGCAGGAGAAAACGTCGTGGGAGGGAACAGAGAACATCAAGTGCAAAACCGCTCAGAAAGAGGGCGTGAGAAAAGAACGGCGGTTGGTACCGATAGATTATAGATTGGAATGGCAACGGCACGACTATCAGCTGAGGCAAGGTTCCTGCTGTCTTGCTACCCAACAAGCAATGTAAAGTACATCCTTCCAGGTAAGGTAGGCGAGGTTGAAAGGAATCCATGGTCAAAGTCCGATGGTAGTCTGTCGTCTACTAATCGGCGGGCCGTGTAGTTCCGGCCGGCGAAGTACCGGTAAGATGCGTGATATTTTGCGGGTTTAATTCCCACCAATGCGACATAACATTGGGCAATGACCCCGTAGGTGAACGGTAAAATCGTTCCATCGTCCTGCATACGTGAAGATAATTGATATTGGGTGCCTTTCCACTGGATTAAAGAGACAGGCGAGAAACAAGCACAATGGAGAAGGTAACGTTGGTTAAGTAGTTCATTAGGTATAGTAAACAGTATACAAGAAAAAGTCATGCATTGCCGATGCAGGCGTGGTATCATATCTGAGCGTATTCGTCCAATCCATCACCTGGTAAAACTCCCAGATTACCTTCCATTTTACGCCTGCGCTAGATTCATGGGCGCCATTTTCGTAAACGCGTCATGCTAAGAAAACATTGGACAGTCTCAAAGACAAGAGACAACTAAATATCCACAACTAAACTCTCCGGTTTGAATAGTCTAGTAGCGGCTGCTGCGCTGCCAGAAGCGGCGACGGCGGTAGGTGGTGTGGGTGGCAGGAGGGGAGTAGTTGTCAACCTTGGAACGCTGCTGGCGGCGCTTGTGGAGACGGCCGCTGCAGCAGGTGAAGAACACGATGACGGTGCCGAGGAGCAGGCAGATGGCGGCGGCCAGGAGAGTCCAGAGAGCGACATCGTAGTGGGCGGAGCTGCCGTTGCCGTCCCTGTTGACGTTGCGGCGGACGACGGCGAACATGACCCAGTCGCAGATGAGGGCGACGATGGTGATGATGAACGCAACGCCGGAGACGAGGGCGGCGAAGAGGGAGCCAAACATGCCGGCACCGACGGAAAGGATGAAGGCGATGAAGGAGACGCCTGCGGCAACGGGGTGGAGAACCATGACCCTGGTCAGGCCTTCGGCGACGTTGGAGGACAGGTTAGAGTACTGGGTGGCATCGGCCTCGGCGATGATATCGGTGGGTGAGTAGCCGATCCTGGAACGGCTGCACTGGTCGGAGCCACTAGGAGATGAGTTAGTTATGGAGTTTGATTCTATGGTATGTGATATTACTTACTAGTCAGAGCCGCCACGGACGCAGTACCCAAAAGTACCAAATGTGATCTCATTGCCGGCGGAAGTGTCGCCCAACTTGACGGTCAAGAGTGAGATGTTGTGCACCACCGGAGCAGAGATGCTGGTGATGACCAGAAGGATCGTTGCTACAAGGAGCAAAAAGGTACCAAAGTGGTGGATGAAGCCGGTGACAGCCATGTTGATTATGGAGATGGACTACTGCCGGATGGCTGAGGTGTAGTGTAAGTGTTTGGTGTAGGGCTTAGTTGTGCGAGACAGGTGGCGATGGAGTACTGATGTGATGAACATGTTCGTGAGAAGAAAGGGAGAGGCCGTCCGCATATAAGCACAAACGTCTCACGACCCCTGGGCCGGCCCCAAGAAACAGGAATTCGCATGATGTGTGCTGTGATCTGTGACAGTACCACACTAGGCACACCGTCCGGGGCCAAGAATGCCGTGTAAGTCAGGGTCCCGGTGCAAGCCAACGAGTGCGACGTCATCAACGTGGCCCAGCCGGGGCCCAAGTTCACACTTCTCGTGGCTCTGTGGCTCTGTAGGAGAGAATTGGGTGAAAATGGACCCTGGCTTGCGCAAGCATCCCCCGCGCCACGGTTGGTCGGCTCGTCTAGTCGCGTCCAAATTTGTTTAATTGTCGAACAAGCTGGCGGTGGAAAAGGAACGTGGGTTCGGCTCTTATTGTGACGTACTATCCAGTTTGCACCGCTGATTGGCTAGGCCCTGGCGTCGTGGCCGATCTGGGATATTGCAGGTTGCCACTATTCCTTGTTTTTGTGGCTCTGTAATGACGCCACGCCTTGAATGGACCCCGGCACCAAAAATCCAACTCCAACGTCAGAGCCTCGACCTTGTGTTCAGCTGACTACTGCCGTATTGCCGACTCAAGTGTTCCTCTGGCAAGAAAAGCACCTGCAGCTCGTCGTCAGGGAGTCCGACTGCGTTGCACTGCTAGCGACGGTCACCAAAGACACCTTCGTCATCGTTCGACAGTCGTTGCAATTTTTGCAATCTGATGTCGGGACATTCCGAAATGTCAACGGTCGTCTTGTGGTGTTCTTTTGACCTTGCACTCAGGGTCTCCCATTCAATGCATCGCCCTGGCCCGCATAATTTTAGGTTAAGCAAGCGAAACTCGAACAGTTCCGTCTGATGATCTGATCCAATCAAGAGCCGTACTTTGACTGGGTGCCATCCCATCTCGCCAATGAGCCTCGTGCCAAATCGTCGCCTTTCATCGGAATTCTCGTTTCCGGAACGCTTCAATGAGCGCGAAACGCTGGAACTCCGATCAGGCTGTAGCTGTAAGATGTTCTTAGGCTTGGCTGATGACCGTAAAATTGGAGATAAAGTCAACGCGCAATCGCTGCAAAGATGCGAGAGGCGGGTTTGATCGGTCCTCGAGGGACTTCGTCTCCAGAGCTTAGACATGGCTTTTGCTGTAGTCGCGTACTGTCGCGCCCAATGGCGATCAGGGTTGGCTTTCTTTCAGATGTAGCAGGCCTTCCATAATAGCGGGTGCCTTTTCTTTCCGCTCTCTGCGCTTGATGCGATCGATGATGGCGCGCTTCTTGACATCAACCGATTTCGAGCCGAGTAGAATATCTTCCCATAGTTGACCCCTGGTTGACGATTTCGACTGTCCGCCATTCTCCCAATCCGACAAACCGTCGGCCATGATATCCTTTGGCAAGGATGCTCTCAATTGAGACGACATTGTCGTTTCTCGGCGCGAACTCGGCCATGGACCATGTAGCGGATTGGCTTTGATGGCCGCAGAGTGTATGTAGCTCGGGGCCGGGAAGATGTGCACCGTGAATTCCTTCTTATCGTCCGTTCCTGCAGCGCCGTCCTCGCTCCCTTCCTGGTGATTTGCGTTGGCAAAGGGCCCGGTGACGGCCGAGCCGGTCAGGAAAGACTTGACAGAACCGTTGGATCGAGGTGTCGCGAGTTGGTACTTGAGCGGGCTTATCTTGACGAGCTCCTTGACTTTCGATTTGTCGCTGAGAACGGATATGAAGGAAGAGTCGTGATCCTAGAAGCCCATGGTGTCAGCGAGAGAGCATTCCTTGGCATTGGTTTTTGCGAGACGCAAACTTACTTCCAGCTTCTTGAACACTTCGACATTGGCGAATCTTTGCAGCGAGTGTAGGACGGCGCGTCTCTCGGAGAACCTATTCGGTCTCGGCACAACGGTGACTTGGACCGTCCGCGCAGAAGCCTTGCTGGACAGTTCTTTCAGAACCGAGTATCCGTTCTTGGACATGGCGCTGATTGTATCGTGAATGCGACTCCGTTGAATACGCCGTGTCGTGAATAGGAAGCGCAATTCGACACGGGAGCTCCGCAAAGTTGTCAAGCTCTGGTGGAGCTTTGACAGTGTCGAAACTCAGCAGCCTGCAGTTGCGCACGGTACCATGCGCCGGGGTGCCCCGCCAAATGGCGGGGAGGCAACGTTCTGCTACTGGAACTTCTAGAACAGCTTGGAAGACATAGACGTACGCCTCCCGTCTAAACACCTATCTTCAGCAGCTCCTGCGAAAACAATCTACAGCTCACCGCGAATTTCTATAAGCCGAACGCGAATCATAGCTTTGGCAGCGTCTAGACAACGAGCCAAGTACACTACGTCCCACAAACCACACTCTCTACCGCGACCATGGCCGCCATCATCGACGCCGACGACGTGATGGAGCCCACCCTCCAGTCCATCCTCGACCAAAAGTCGCTGCGCTGGATCTTTGTCGGAGGAAAGGGTGGTGTAGGAAAGACAACCACGTCGTGCTCCCTCGCCATCCAGCTCGCCAAGGCGCGCAAGTCCGTCCTCCTCATCTCCACCGACCCGGCACACAACCTGTCCGACGCCTTCAACCAGAAGTTCGGCAAGGAAGCCCGTCTCATTGAGGGCTTCACCAACCTGAGTGCCATGGAGATCGACCCCAACGGCAGCATGCAGGACCTGCTCGCGGGCCAGAACGAGGAGGTGGATGCCATGAGCGGTGGCCTCGGTGGCATGATGCAGGATCTGGCATTTGCTGTAAGTTTTCCCTCTGATACGCCGGCACATCTGCAGCAGCTTGTTTTCTAACGTAATTTATCTAAACAGATCCCCGGTATCGATGAAGCCATGTCCTTCGCCGAAGTCCTCAAGCAAGTAAAGTCAATGTCCTACGAAACAATCATCTTCGACACCGCCCCGACAGGCCACACCCTCCGCTTCCTCTCCTTCCCCAGCGTCCTCGAAAAGGCCCTCGCAAAGGTCTCCCAGCTCAGCTCGCAGTACGGGCCCCTCCTCAACGGCTTCCTCGGCCAGGGCGGCCAGCTGCCCAACGGCCAGAACCTCAACGAGATGATGGAGAAGCTCGAGACGCTGCGCGAGACAATCTCCGAGGTCAACACCCAGTTCAAGGACGAGAACCTGACGACTTTCGTCTGCGTCTGCATCCCCGAGTTCCTGTCTCTCTACGAGACGGAGCGCATGATCCAGGAGCTGGCAAACTACGGCATCGACACCCACAGCATCGTCGTCAACCAGCTCCTCTTCCCCAAGAAGGGCAGCAACTGCGACCAGTGCACGGCCCGTCGCAGGATGCAGAAGAAGTACCTCAACGAGATTGAGGAGCTGTATGACGAGTTCAACGTCGTCAAGATGCCGTTGTTGGTTGAGGAGGTCCGCGGCAAGGAGAAGTTGGAAAAGTTCAGCGAGATGCTGACCACGCCTTACTCACCGCCCGAGATGGATGCTTGAGTATGAGTTCGTGAGCGGTTTCGGGTGAGGCAGCGGTTTGCAGGTGTTGAGAGGATCAAAAACACGACTATGAATATTTGGTTATGACTGGATGGGTAGCATGAGGCGCAAGAGTCACGAGTGGAGACATAGAATACATTCACAAACGATTGATACCCTGGTGATGTGTGCAGGAGATTTGATTTGACTACCTTGGTGCGTGATATCAGAGTGCCCTTAACGCTGAGCACTGACGGCGTAGCTTCATTATCCCAATTATCCCCTGCCCCATTGTTCTGCACTATGGCAGCGACAGTAAAGTCCAATTGATTCCCTTCCCGTCCCAGGCACATTAGAGAAGTCCGCCCCTACCCCGTTCCCGAACGCCCTGCAGACCATGAAAAAGCCTTGTCCAAATTCCTCTTGGCTGTGTGAGGATAGTGTTATGCCGTGTTTTTCCAGAATGATAATGATGAATGACCCCGTAATGCAATGCGTGTCGTCTAGTTTTACAATCGAAGAAGTCGTGGATGGCCATTGTAGGAACCGTCGATTGAGAGAGGCGCTCACAGCTCCCTGTAGTCGCTGGGGCGGACACGCTTCTGCCGGTTCTGGTGACGGTGAGGGTTCACCGGCCTTCGGAAGTACGCGTCCTCGTCGTTGCTCGGCTGTGTGAAGTTGTGGCGTTGCCGCTGATTATAGCCACCCATGCCGCCGCCGTTCATCCCGCCACCATTCATTCCGCCGCTCATGCCATTCATATGATTCATGCCGTTCATGTTACCGCCGAAGTTGTTGCCGTACATGTTGTTGTTGCCGCCCATACCAGGGAAGCCGCCGCCGTTCATGGGGTTGAAGCCGGGCATACCCATCATCGGGTTCATCATGCCCATCATTGGCATCCCCATGTTCATGTTACCCATGTTTGGCATGTTTGGCATATTGGGCATGTTTGGCATTCCCATGAAGCCGTTCATCATGTTCATGCCGCCGAAACCCATCATCGGGTCCATGCCCATGTTGCCCATGCCGTTCATGCCGTTCATCATCGCTTGCTGTTGCTCTTGTTGCTTCTGCATCGCCTTCGGAGCCTTCGGAATCTTGGGGTTCTCCATCAACTCATCAGCAGGGCGCTTCTTGGAGTTGGACTCCACAGACGACGCGCGCTCAGCGGCGGGGCCGGACGGAGCGGTGGCAGGAGTTGCTGAGGTCGACTTTGGCGTGCCATCGGTCTTCGGGCCTATTGGCGCTGAGGCAGGAGCTGCTACCGTGGCCATAGGGGATTTTTGGAATGTGGGCGATTTGGCGTTTCCGTTGGCTGAATCTGTCTTTGTCTCTCCATTTTCCTTGGGCGACGAGGCCGGCGGCGGCGAGGCTGCTGTCGGGCTCTTTGCATCGTTCTTCTCCTTGAGGAACTCCTTCATCTTCTCCGCAGCTTCCTCATCAGCCTTGAGGTCGTCAATCAAGACACCTTCCGTAGAGCAATTAGGGCAGACGAAGTCCGATTCGATGAGAGCATTGGTTATGCAATCATTGCAATACGTCTTCTGGCAGCACGGGGTCTTCATTGGGTCTATGAACATCTTCTTGTCGATAGGACACTCAAGTCCCTGCTCCTGCAATTCTTTGTCTCCCATAGCGATTGCCTTGGCAGCAGACGCTGAAGACTTGGCTTTGGCCTGGAACTGTTCCCATGAAGCCTTGTCAGGCTCAGCGATCACGAATTCTCCCTCGGCATTGACCATGATGCCTGATGGTCTCTTGGTCTCGTCGTCACCACTCTGGGCGAGGGCAACCGACTTGTCCACTGTGCGCAAAAATGACCGCGGAATACCAGTCGTGCGCTTCACACGTGGACGATTGTCAAACTCTGGATCGTCGTTCGTTGGGCACAACTGAATCCAGTGACCTTTCTCTCCACAGCGATAGCAAATGTAGCCATTGGGAGGGTCATGGTCAGGCACGTTTGCTGGCTTCTTAGAACCTGGCTTGAACACAGGAGTTTGGCTGCAACTTTGTCAGAGTTGATTCGCTAGGGCGATTTGGGGATGGACTTACTTTGACATTTCCTCCTGTTGGGCTGACCAAGACTCGGTTTGAGCCTGGAACATGGCTGCCATCTTCTCCTCTTCGGTCATGGCATTGTTCATCTGGCTGATGGCGTTGGATGCGGCCTTGGCTGTGGCTGATTTGGTGGTCTGTTCTTTGCGGGAGGAATTCTTCGCAGCAACGGGCATCTTGCCAGAGACATATCGGGCGCCTCGGCCTGCACCAGGCTTGGCGGCTGGAAGGCGACGAGCAACTACGGTCGTAGATCGGGGGATAATAGTCGTATCATCATCGTACTCTAGGAAGATGTTAGATCGACAGTCCTGAGAAAACTGTTCGAGATAGAACTTACCCTCACTGCCATCCTCGGAGTAAATGGCAAGGTCGAAGTCGGTACCATCTCCCAAGCCGCTCTTCAAGATGATGTCGCGCTTCAGCTCGAAGACGGAAATACCGGTGCCATCGAACTCAACTCGCGTCGGCTCCTTTTGAGACTTGAACTTGAAGAACACGGAGGACGCCATGATGTCTCGTTTGGTAAGGTCACAGGTGTAGACCGCTATAGACGTTGGCAGCAGTAAAGTGCGCAATCAAATATTTGATTTGAGTGGCGATGAAGACTTCGCGGGATACCACGAAGATGCAACGCTACCTCAACGTGAGTAGAGAGAGACTTGATGCTTGTAATTTTTCTTCTTGCTTGTGTGTGATGTCTCTTGCGCTTAGCACCTCTCAAGAGTAATGAAAATCAATTCTGATTTACTTGGACAACGAGGAAATAAGAGTTGCGGAGTGTAGAGAAAGAGTACAATGCCAAAGAGGCCGACACCAGTTGGAGAAAAGTCAGTCCTTTGTGTGAATCCCTCCTCAAATCCAAATCACCTCGACACCTTTCGCACCATCAGTCGAGAAAACCTCAGTTAGCCAGCGTTGGTTTCCAATTCAGTATTCCGGTCGAAATGTGAGCGGTCGCAACGGTCTCGTGGCGAGACGCAATCAATCGTACAGGGAAAGAGTCGGTTGCTGAGCGGGCACTTGCTTCGCTGGTCACCTGAGCCGAAAAGTCGTTTGGGCGATTATCCTAGGGTAATGGAATCCGTTGCACAGTCGTATGGAGCACCCGTACATAGGTATCGGCAGAACGAAACGCGCGGTCGCAGGTCGTAAGAGGGCGTTGATGGTGATGTTCGTGGCAGGAAAAAGAGGAGTAACGCAAAGGGGGAGGAGAAGAGATATAGCCGGCAGTGACTGCAGGCAGACGGAGAAAGGTAGCTGGAACCCACTCTCTGGCCACTGCGACCGACCGGCCTGATTCTGCAGCACTGCCAATTCTGGGCAAGCCCGGGCCAGGTGGCACGTGAGCGCCGGAAAGTCCGGACAGGTGTTTTTCCGGGTGCCTATGTCCCTTCTCTGGGCTGGGCCTCTCCACCAAGGTTTAAGGCACCTTGTCAACCTGTGCGAGTTCTGAGGTGGTCCCCATTCTTCTCCGGAAGGTGCCGTCGCAGCTGAGTAATCCCAGGAAACTTCCAGCGCCTCCTCCTCCGCCTAGGTCCCGACCGGAACTCCACTATCTCGGCCGGAGAGATGCCGACAATGTCACGTGCTGTATCACGCAAAAGTTCTTTGGTCTCGGTCTTAGCGCCTCCACCTGGAACGGATACATTAGCAATGGCCAGGTCCCTTCCTGCTGATACGCCGCTGCTTGCCGAAGCGCATTGAGAGAACCCCGCCATCCGGAGCAGTTGTGGGCAGGTGCATGTAGAGGTACTCTCGGTGCAGCAGAATTCTGGTCAGCTCTTTTGCGCCCGATGTAGAAGGTCCAGTCCGGCGTCATGCCCCGCACCTCGTTGTTTAGAGGCCTTGCCCTCCCTCAGACTGCTCGAAAGTTTGTTCCTACAACTCCCAAATCTCTCCCGTGTTGGCAGACCATCTCACAATCTCGCCGTCACTACCTTACTCCAGCTATAAAAGCACACCAAGCTCGAAAGACCAAGATGGCTCCTCAACTCGACGGCTACTTCAAGCAGGTCGATGCCGACACCGACCACTTCATCGATCGCCTCCGGAAGGCTGTTGCGATTCCCTCCATCTCAGCTGATGTTGAGCGTCGTCCCGATGTCGTCAAGATGGGCGAGTGGCTCGCTGCTGAGCTGAAGTCCCTCGGTGCCTCAGTCGAGCTTCGCGAGCTCGGCGAGCAGCCTGACAAGCCTGGCTTGCAGCTGCCTCCCGTCGTGTTGGGAAGATATGGAAGCGACAAGAACAAGAGAACTATTCTGGTCTATGGCCACTACGACGTCCAGCCCGCCGAGAAGACTGATGGCTGGGCGACCGAGCCTTTTGAGCTCTCCGTTGACGACAAGGGCAGAATGTTCGGCCGTGGCTCCACGGACGACAAGGGACCCGTTCTCGGCTGGTTGAACGCCATCGAGGCTCACCAGAAGGCTGGCATCGACTTCCCCGTCAACCTCCTCATGTGCTTCGAGGGTATGGAGGAGTACGGTTCCGAGGGTCTTGACGACCTTATTAATGCCGAGGCCAAGAAGTTCTTCGCTGACGCCGATGCTGTCTGCATTTCTGACAACTACTGGCTCGGAACTGAGAAGCCCTGCCTTACCTATGGTCTCCGTGGCTGCAATTACTACTCTGTCGAGATCAAGGGCCCTGGCGCTGATTTGCACAGCGGTGTCTTTGGCGGCACTGCTCAGGAACCCATGACTGACCTGGTCCGCGTTCTCGGCTCTTTGGTCGACACTGACGGCAAGTTCCAGATTCCTGGCATCATGGAGCAGGTCGCCCCCGTTACCAAGGATGAGGAGACTCTGTATGATGGCATTGCCTTCACTATGGAGACTCTCCACGAGTCTCTTGGCAGCAAGACTACTATCTACGAAGACAAGAAGTCCACCCTCATGGGAAGATGGCGCTACCCCTCCCTCTCCGTCCACGGTGTTGAGGGTGCCTTCTCTGCCCCTGGCGCGAAGACTGTTATCCCGGCCAAGGTCACTGGCAAGTTCTCCATCCGCACCGTGCCCAACATGGAAGAGGAGGCGACCAACGAGGCCGTCTACAAGTACGTCAACGAGCAATTCGCAAAGCTCAAGAGCAAGAACACCATGAAGGTTTGGGCTCAGCACACCGGCAAGTGGTGGGTTGCGTCGCCCAAGCACTGGAACTTCTCGGCTGCCGCCAAGGCTACCGAGCGCGTCTGGGGCGTGCAGCCTGACTTCACCCGTGAGGGTGGAAGGTATGAATCCCATTTCCTGATACCGAAGGACGTCCATTGACAATAGACATAGTATCCCCGTCACCTTGACCTTTGAGCAGGCCACCGGCAAGAACGTTCTTCTTCTGCCCATGGGTAGCTCCACTGACGGTGCTCACTCCATCAACGAGAAGCTGGACAAGCGCAACTACATCGAGGGCATTAAGCTCCTTGGCGCTTACCTGCACTACGTCGCAGAGGAGCCCATCGCATAAATCGACCGTGGATTTAGTGAGGTCACTACGCCGGAGGGCAACTAGGAACCGCTATATCTGTCATGGCATGCAATGGGGCGGTCGCCTTACCACGTTGCCATAGCGAGTTGAGTTCGGCTTACAGGCCGACTGCTGACGGCATATCATGCATGCCGAGAGCGCTGCAATGGGCCGTTGGCCAGATGGGGATCAACGGACAAGAAGCTCCTGATTTTCACTGCAAGGTTCAGATCACAAGTCACGTAATTCAAATACCCAAACAAATTCATATTAAACCGTGCTCAATTTCGTCGTTTCTAAAGTGGGGTATTAGTGCGTAAAGGGTCAGTCATGATCGTTCGTCCATCGTGGTATGTACTTCATGTTCCAGGTATCCAAGCAAAACGCCGGTGAGAGGACAAAGCCCACATGGCTTGGGATATCTCGTGCGTATAAGTGGTAGGAGAAAAGGGGGGGTATCAGCAGCTTTCAACAAAAGCTCTACTACTTCTTTCGCGCCGTCGCCACTCTGCGGCTCCGTCTCTTTGCCACAACCTCCGGGTCCCAGTTTCCCGAGAACATATCCTCGAGGTCGTCCTCGTCCTCGGAATCAAACACAATTTCGACCTCGCTGTCTGAGGCGTCCTTGCGAGCGCTCTGGGCGGCACTGTCGTCGCCGCCGCCATCGTCGCCGTTCCGGTCCACAACATCCTCGTCTTTGCTACCTACTCCGCCGGCCGGCCCAGCCACGGAATCGTCATCCTCTGATGCATCGCATTCCTCATCATCAGAATACCCTTCCTCCGGGACATCGACGACATCCTCCCAGCTACGGAACGGCACCACGCGCTCGACCTCGAGGATGAACTTGCCGACCTTGTACTTTTGGCTGAGCTCCTTGGCGTCGACGTACTTCCAGCCGAGCTTCGCGCTGCAGAGGACGCAGGTGATGTCCGCGACGACGTGCCAGCCCGTGACGAGCTGGCGGTTCTCGCATTTTCCTATGCGGACGTTGGCGAGGCTTCCCTTGTTCTTGGTGTTGTTTGCGCCGCCGCTTGCGCTCTGGGTGGTGGCGGTGGTGGTGGCGTTTGGGATGACGGTCGGCGCGATGAGGTAGGCGCGGCCGTAGCGGCCTGTGAAGCCTTTGCTTACGATTTGGGAGGCGAAGGCAATGTCGCAGGAGCAGGTTGAGCAGCGGAGGGTGTCTGGGTGGGTGCGCGCCAGGGAGGTTGTTTTGTTGTTTCTGTTGCTCTTGTTGGTGGTGGTACTTGTGGATGTGGACTTTGGCTTGGAGAGGAGATCTGGTATGCTAGCTGTTGCGGTCATGGTGGTGGCATCTTGGTAGGTCGGCGGCGGGGGGCTATTCGGCGGGGTCGCGGTCTCGTCTGTCGTTGAGGAGGTCGGCGAGGAGCTTAGGGAGGGGACTTGGCTTGCGTCCGGGGTTGAGTCCGGGGAGGTTGAAGCTGTTTCTGTTTCTGTTTCTGCTGCTTCTGATGCGGACGAGGTCCGGCGCGGGGCGCGGCGGCGGAAGGGGACGATGTTGAAGTTTGGGAGGAGGTAGGTTGGGAATGTGGGACGGGAGACGACGATGTTGGGCGCCATCGCGAGGGTCTTGGGGTTTCTTGGACGAGAAGAGAAAGGTAGGTAGTGCGCCGCGTTCTCGGAAGCCCTGGCCCCGAAGACGTGGTTTCCTTGGGGTTTCTTTGTTTCGTTTGTATATTTTGGACTACGGCTTGTTGGAGTTGTAGATGAGGGCGGCGCCGGTGGTGGAGTTTTCTACCATGGTATTCCGGCGAGGGTTCCGAGGGAGAGGATGGATGGTCTTCTCTGGATGTTTAGGGTGAGGAGAGCATGGCTTTGTCTTTGGGAGGGACGACGACGATAGCAAGCGTTTAAGGAGTTTCTACCGCCTATCTCTTGACTTGTTCACGAGTTTGGATCCTTTGCGACTGAGACGGGGTCCTCGGGAGGTCATGGAATCATGTATAAGGCAAGGCGGGCAAGCAGGAATGAAGGGTCGGAGGCGATTTGGGGTAGGTAAGGTAGGTAGTTAGGTAGATCAGAGCCCGGCGCAGGGGCGCAAGTTCGACAGGGAGGGGAAAATGTGAGTGACTGACTTATGGCACGAGACAGTGAGATGGAGGGGTAGAGGATTTTCGGGCTGGACTTTTTCTTTTTTGGCCTGGCCACCGTCCAGATGGTGTGTAACGTGCAGTTTTTGTGAGCGAGTGAATGATTCGGGTTGTTGGAGGGTAAGGTAACGCAAGGGAAGGGGAAGGTATGGCACATACCTACCGTTCCGGCAAGCAAGCAGCATGTCACTGTCACTGTCTCTGGTGGACCCCGCCTGTTTTGCGGTGAGTGGACGGCGGGAAGTGTGAGATATCAAAAGGGTCTGGGCGCGAACGTCGGACATGCAATGTTGGTGTACTTCCGTTTTGATAAGGTAGGTATGCGCAGATGTTTGGAGCTCTAGTCTTCTCTGCCCGGACTCGAGATGGAAGACTAAGGCTTGCTGACATTTGATCCAACTAGACTTGAAGGCTGAAGAGGAGTTGTGGATGTTTCGCCTTCACTTTGATATCGTAAAGTAAGACATTGCAAAGCCGGGAACATCTGCTCAGCAAGCGGCCAGTATCGGAGCAGCCGGCGTCGGTTCTTATTCAGTACTTACCTTGGGTACAGTACCAGGTATTCAATACTTGAGGGATCGCTCGGATGCTGTGGTGTACGAAGTAGGTACGGTCAAGTCCCTCGGTCGAAGGAGGTTCGAGCTTCCCCACTTGGCTATACCTTAAGATGCAGTATCACAGCCCAACGTTATCGATAAGATGGGCAACTGGAAGCGTGAGTCGATAAGAACGAGAGACGGCGGCCAGGTGGAGTCTTCCCAAGTGGTGAGATTTCCATTTGGCGCCGGCAGTGTGTGTGTGTGTGTGTGTCACTTTCACTGGACTTCGGACTCCACCGGCGGGTGGGTGTGGATGATCACCTCATTCGGCCTCCATCAGATGTGACCCCTCTTCCTCCAACGGCTGTGCGGCAGACGGAAAGAGAAGGGGTCCCCACCTTCCTTCATGTCGTTGGAGACTCCCAGAATGAGGGTGAGCACCTGTACGGCTGGAGAGGCTTCTAGAAAAAGCGAAAACCCAAAGATGAGTGTTTCGAGTTCCAGAGGTTATTGCTCGGTAACTTTGGAGTTTGCGGGGAGCGAGGCCGTCACAAGTATCTTGCAGCAGCATCCAAGATCATAGATGAAGCATTTCGATCGTTATCTGTGGACCAAAACGCCGCGCAGCTTTCGCTCGGTTTCGGTGAGGAAGTAGTGGGGAGCGTCAGATGGTCCGTCGGGCTGTTAGCTGCTGACTACCAGAGACCGGCGCCGATTTAGACACGAAATCTATAGCCCTTTGACTGCACCCAGCATCAAGGCAGACCGTAGTAGCTTCGATGACAAGTAGACGCTCAATTGCTGTCATTACGAAATCAGTAAATCAACTTCGAACGAATGATCCAAGGCACCAAGAGAAGTCGACAATCGTCGAGGTATTCATAACGCACTCGTTCCTTTCGAGAAGGAGAATGCTGCGGTGGATGACTCGCGAATCATGAATGTGGGGGACAAAACGGTCAAGTGACCCGAACGGAAACACGGACCCCAGGAAGTCCAAGCATGCTAAGGTAGTTGCGGCGCTGCATGGCATTTTTTGGCAGGCATTGACAAGGCATCCTGCAATATTGCCCATGGCAATGTGTGAATATAGACCAACCACCGTAACATCTTGTGCTCCGGTGGCCTGCTCGCCCGTCACGATTGCGACGGCCGAGAAAATGCGGCCTCCGACCGTGCCGGGGCTCCGGCTGAAAGGGGATCCATCCGTTCAAGCAAAGTTGCGAACTTGCGACATCTTACGCCATCGTCATATGAAATGTTTGGACTATCCACGGCGGACGTCTGGAATACAGTAGGTACTGTATAGGTACGTAGTGAGCTCAGCCAGAGTTTCGAGCTTGGGGACGGTAGGCTGGCCTCTCGCAAACCCTAATTGTCCTGATGATGGAGGACCCCGACATTTCTAAGCGGTTATCTGTCACTCGTATGTATATGCGACGATCGACGGCCGTGTGCTTGAACTGCTTGCGTAACATTACCTCACTTTCGTACGTTGATGATTCAAAAAGAGGACCAGTCATCGGGCCAACGCTACACATATCAACGTTGATCATCCTTGTGGAAGCCCATCAAGAGTACGGATAAAGCACTGCGATACTGTGAGCGCCAGAGAGAGAAACTCATCTGTCTGACCGTTTCCGTCCAAGAGATGATTACCCCAAGTTCTGGGTCGGGCTAGGGTGGCTGGGCAGCATGGGCTCGGTTTTGGGGGGGATTGACCACGTGCATGTGAAGTGCAGCCCACGGCCTCGTTCGATTGGCAGAGGCCGCAGGAGAAGCAGTCAAAGTGCCAAGCGCCGTGCCGGGCCCGGATTGGGAGCGTCCACCCGAGTTGGTTGATTGCTGGCGGGAGACTACTGGTGACAGTAGAATTGGGGCATCTCTGACTGGTCTGTACAGATAGACGGTCGAGATAGGCCTGGATGCATACAGTTATTGGTGTCTGGAGACAGAAGGATGCAACTGCTTCAAGCCCGTCAATGAACCAGTACCCAATGAGTAGGTAAGGTAGATCGTAAACTCCAAATGGCCGAGCAGCATCAGCCAATGCAATGCAGCCCGAGAAACAACGTGCTTTGCTTCCCATACCGCCTCATACAGTGCAACATGGACGGATGGCGCATTGCAGAGGGCTCCAGCCGGTTTCGTAAGCCTAGACCAGTGGCCCCCCAATGGACCGTGGACCAGGGACGCCCCCTTGCCAGCGAGAACAATGGACAAACTGGAACCCTCTGGAAGCTGCGTAAAGAGACAACTGATGTCGATGATGATCGTGGCGAGCAAGCAAACACATCATGGAGTATGTACAGATAGCAAGTGACGAAAGTAAAGGGTCCCTGAGGATTGCGATTGAGTAAGATCCAAGCAATTGAAAGCCTGAATTGACGTGGACGGGATCAATGGCATTGAACTACATTGGATGGTGAGGAGGAGACATGGATGATGGATGATGGGATCCGAGGAAAGAAGGGGGAAAGGTGGGGATGCCATGGCTGATTATGACTGTTCCTTCCCTTGTATCCATACGCATATGCAGTACCTCAGGTACTGTGTAGGTTTTCCCACTGGACCGGTGGGCTTGGCCGCTTTTTTTGGTGGCTGCCACCCCTTGAGACTGCCATTGCGGCCCATTGGAAAGTGGCACGGCACGGCTGGGTGGTGGTTGCTGCGTGCTGCACAGTGGACAGCCCAAGTGGTGGTCCCCTTGGCTGGGCTGCTTTCTCCGCCACGCTAGACGTTTCCACCCTTTATTATTTTTTTCTGTAGGAGGGAGATATGGCCTTTCCGCTGGGTTTTTATTCACCACTCCGCCCGCCACCGTCTCTTCCCAATTCCCCTCTTCTCGTCTTCCCCATCGCAACGCTTCACCGCCGATATCCTGCTCGCCTCACCCGCAACAACCGCCGTTCAAGAAAAAAAAAACAAGGACAAAACATCAACGCAAATCCTCGCCCCCCGCGCTACTACATCAATCGATCTACACAAATCGACAACAGCCTCATCAGCTAAACCAACAAAACCCACACCACCTTTTCAAGACAAGACTACCATCGTCGCTACTTGACTCTCGCCTCACTTTTCAACTACCAATCACCAACTCATCGACGATCCGGTTTCGATTTCCCGAGAACCGACCTCCCAAACCAATTCTACCTCAACACCATATTTTAGCTACCAAACCCCGAAAATCAATCGCAATGGCGCCCATGAATCAGGTCAACAATTACAGTAGTAGTAATTATGGTGAGGCCATTGTCCGTCAGGCCAATGTCCTCGCCAGCTGCTACATCGTCGATTCCGCCGCGACTCTTCGCGGTCTCCACTACTGCACTACCGGCGCCGCAGGTACGTCGCATTCTTCCCATTCCACAACAGCACAAGCACATGTCTCTCTTCCTTCCTACCTCCCCCATGTATGCCCATCTTCAGCCTCAAACTTGTAGATATGCCGCCGATCACACGGGGTTGTTGTCTCTTGTAAACTTCCCACCCCCTATAGTCCCCGCTCACTTGCATCACCCGTCTCCGGAAACTTGGTAAACTACATGGATCATGGACTGACATATCTGGGAATCAACAGGGGCCGAGTGGTATTCCTGAGGTCCCCTCCTCAGGACTACCATCCCCTCCTTCAAGTCCCCCCCTCGCGGCCATAACGGCATCCAACGAGCTCGCTCTGCTTCCCAAGGCCAGCAGCAGCAGCTCCAAGAGGCGCGATACCGTGCCCGGCAAGAGGATTAGCCGCAGAGGGGGGGCAGCACTTTCGATCAGGGAAGAATGTGAAAGGTTCTTTTGTGAGTCCATGAGGGCTGTGTTCCGCGGTGAGACGGACACTGGCTCGCGTGGCTCCGGCCTGCATCAAGGTGCTTATTACTACAACAACGGCAGCAGCAACGCCAACAACATGCTGCCCACTCCGCCGCCAGACGAGGACTTGGCCGTTCAACCGCACGTCCCGTTCGGGGGACGCGGCGGGGACGGTGCTGAGGGCTTCACGGCTCCTACCGCACCGGCCCCGGCCACCGCGTGGTTGGAGGTTTGGGACTTTGCCGGCGGCGCGAGTTTCAGGGCCTTTGTGGCGGACGATGGGGCTGAAAAGTCCCTGTTCGCCCTGTTTGACAGGAATGTCATTGGACGTGACCTGAAGCCTGCGTATGTCACACACATACACACCCTATCTGTCTCAGACCCCGTTACACAAAGAACCCTTGGCTAACATTCCTTCCAGGCTTATGGCGCTGATGGAGCTGGTTGATGGACCGCTCAACTGCCAACACCTGGTCGTCTGCATCGACCGGACCATTGAGGAGGAGGATGCAAAGTCGCTGATGAAGAGCCTGCAGTGGATCGGCTTCGAGTTGACTACGCTGGATCAGTGGGCGAGAGACGTGGACGTGACGAGCAACCAGTGGCTGTTTATGAGCATGGAGATTTAGCATTACTTACCCCGGACAGCCTTTCATCGTCCGCGTTCTGTTTGGAAGGGGGTTTCCTCTTCCTCACTCATCAGTTCTTTGAGCTTGGCAGTTGGGGAGTTTTGGCTTTTTCAGGCGTCTTCGTCTCTCGTCTTTTCCAGTGGTTGCACGGCATCGCGGGCTATCTTCTCTGCTGGCAAATGTTTTCTCTTTTGCTTGGGGTACGCACTTTGGTCTCTTCTTCTTCGGTACACAAACAGCTCGAGCTTGGAACAAAACAGCAGGATACGGAATTTGTGTTGGAGAAAAAGGGGAGGAACCGTCAAAAGCATTGAACGCAAAGGGATTCCAGTCTCGTGTTTTGGGCATCTTTCTCTCTCTCTCGCATCTGTATCTGTACGCTAAAAGTTGAAGGGCTGTTTCTTTTCACATACTCTTGAGGCTAGTGTTTGTTCAGAAACTAGCCAAAAGATCTATTTTTTGGGGGACTCGAAGCAATCACTTTGTCGTGTTAGGGATATGTTCTTTCCACTCTTCTCCTTTGGACTTCACACGGCTATACAAGCACAACAGCAGTATAAAATCGCAACATGAGGAAGTTTCTCTCTTTGTATGTCTAGTATTCGGGCCAATGTGAGCGTCAAGATTGTCGACCACAGAATTGAACTCCAGGCTTTTCCATAAAAATGACCACCACTATCAAAAAGGTTTCCAAAACGTCTAAGCTGGTTCTTTGTCTCTTTCTCTCGAAGGGCCAGTGATCGCCCCCCCTCCCCCTTCCTCTCTCCTCTTGTCCGAAAGTCGCAAGGGAATAAGCAATGCTCGGCGTTTCTTCGCCCCCGTTTTCCTTCATTTCAACCAAGGTACCCCAAAGCTTAAGACAACATGACACTTTTCAAATGGTCTCCTCAAACTGCCTCACCTTGAGTCCCTTGTCGGCCAAGAAATCCTTGACCTGCTTGACGGTATACTCCCCGCGGTGGAACATACCCGCTCCCAACGCGGCGTCCGTCGTCGTCTTGGCAAACACCTCTTCAAAGTGCGCCGGCTCGCCCGCGCCGCTGGACGCGATGACGGGGATCTTTACGGCGGCCTTGACCTGGGAAATGAGCTCGAGGTCGAAACCGCTGTTGGTGCCGTCCTTGTCGATGCAGTTGAGCAGGATCTCGCCGGTGCCCATGGCCTCGACGGCCTGGGCGAGCTCCACGACGTCCATGTCGCGCGTCTCGCGGCCGCCCTTGATGGTGCAGGCGTACCAGCAGTACTCCTCGCCCTTGGGGCCCGGGTGGGACGTCTTGAGGATGTTGTGGCGCGTGGCGTCCGTGTTGGGGACGTAGACGCGCTTGGGGTCGACGGAGACGACGACGGCTTGGTTGCCGTAGGCTTTTGAGATTTGCTCAATGGCCGTGTTGCCGAAGAGCTTGCGGCCCGCGCCGTAGTATTCTTCGGCCGCGAGGACGGCGTCGGAGCCGATGGAGACCTTGTCGGCGCCGGATTTGAAGTACATTGTGGCGATCTCGAGGGCCGAGACCTTGGTGCCGTCCGTGTCGACGGTGTCGCGGATGCCGCCGCCGATGGTGAGCGGGACGAAGACGGTTTCCGAGGTGCGGCGGAGGATCTCGAGCATGGGGACGTCGGCGAGGGGGCAGTCGCGGAAGCTGGTGATGTTGAGGAAGGTGACCTCGTCTGCGCCCTGCTCGTAGTAGCGGCGGGCCATCTCGACGGGCTTGCCGAGGTTGCGGACGGCGCCGCCTTCGGACTTTTCGCGGACGTCGTATTGGTCGCCCTTTGTTACGACGAGGTCGCCCTGGTCGTTTGTGCGGACGTCGAGGCAGGCGATTACGCGGCGGGTGAGGCCGTCTTGGTAGGGGGCGGCGGTGGTGGTCTCGGCGGCGGCGGATGGTGTAGCACCTGCAGCGGCGAGATTTGCGGCGCCGGAGCCGTCGAGGAAGGCGCGGAGGCAGCGCAGGCCCGCGGCGCCGGACTTTTCGGGGTGGAACTGCGTCGCGAAGATGTTACCCCTGGCGAGGGCGCCGACAAAAGTCTCGTCGCCGTAGGTTCCCGTCGCGACGGTCCAACCCTGGGCCTCGAGCTCGCCGCGGACGTAGGGGTACTTGTAGGTGTGGACGTAGTAGTATTTCGAATCCGGTCGGAGGTCGTAGAGGCTCGCGCCGCCCGTGTTTGCGCTGTTCCAGCCGATCTGCGGGACGGACTTGGTGGAGGCGTCGAAGCGGTCGAGGCGGCCCTTTACGACGCCGAGGCCGGGGACGTCGGGGTCCTCGAGTGAGCCCTCGAAAAGGGCCTGGATGCCGACGCAGATGCCCATGAAGGGCTTGCCTGAGGCGATGTGGGCTGAGATGGCGGGGAGGAAGCCGGCTTGGGAGAGTTGGGAGAGGCAGTGGCCGAAGTGGCCGACACCGGGGAGGATCAGTTTCTGGAAGGGGAGGAGAGGTTAGCTACTTGATGGCTTTCTTAACGGTTTATATCGAGACCAATTGCTTACTTCTGCTGAGGGAACATCTTCGGGCCTTCTAATCCACTCGACTTCGTAGCCGACCTTCTCGATGGCGTTCACCAAGCTGCGAACATTGCCCGCAACGTAGTCCAAGAGGTGGACCTTTGGCATGGTGGGCAAACTGGAGGATGAAGTGTCTGTTAAAGGGATGGGTATATTGCAAGTCTATAGAACAGAAAGTAGATCAAATATTTGGAACGAATGGAATGCGACGTTATAAAGTATCGTCAATCGACGAGGGATGTCAAGTGGTGAGTCAACAGAGTGAAGTCCGATTGTGAGTCGTAGGGCGTCGTCTCTGGGAAATTTACTTGCGATAGCGGGGCAGAGGGGTTGTGACTGTGAGCATGGAAAGTCTAGCAGTTGCCCCGCACCAGCGAGCAGCGGCCCCTGTTCAATTGACCTCTGGCCTGTGCCAATCCCACGTCGAATTGACTGGGGGCGGGTAAGCTTCTCTCCATTGGAAACGGAATTCTGCAATCATCTTCAACATTGAAGCTTCAGCAATTTTTTCGACGTCGCACACTCTTTCCGCGATGCGCTTACAACTCCATTTCCGCATTCCCTGACGCATCTTGAAGCTCGCAGCTGGCGAAACTATCACATAATCACACGAATCTTTGGTCCCAATGCGCCATTCCCATCAATCAATTGGAGCGCCCCGACAAGAGATCGTCGCGAAAACATGGCGACCAACGAGCCGACGTCTTCAGTCGCGCCGGTGATTGCGGCGACGGCGCCCGCTGACGAGCCACCGAACGAAGCATCCAAAAAGATTGATGGCGGCGACGACTCAGACTGGGAGTACGAGTACTCGACCACAGAGACCGAGGTCAGCTGTCGCATTGAAGCGAGCAGGAAGATGCAATTGCTGACCATCTCAGACATACTACCTGACTGTCGATCTCTCCATCCCACAGCTTCTGCGGCGCAAACGGAACATGCCAGTGTCAGGACGAGGCGGATATCACTACAAACACTGGGCAGGCCCTACCACCAGGAAGCCCGACGAACCGAAACACCACCGCATCATGTCAGAAGACGACCAGAATGATGACGAACCGGCGGACGAGCCCGAGGACGACGAAGAGATTGATCAAGGACAGGCGGACCCCATTGTAGACAGCTACGACGCAGACTTTGAATCTGAACAAGCTGCCGAGATCCAGATCTTAGACCTGCACTCCGACAAGCCCATGTTCGCGTACAAGGGCAAGATCTTTGAGGGACAGTGGACACGAAATTTGGGCACAGAAGTAATCTTCGCCGAACACGAGCACGAGGATCCGATTCCGGCTCTGCGACATCTTCCCGGCGGTGTTGACATGCTCGCGGCCAGTTGGTCGAGGATCAACACGACGGAGAAGCGCCTCGAGCCAAAACATGAGGCGGCGGCGAAAGACGACCCCCTCAAGGACATCAGGAGGCAGCACGGGATTCATATACCCATCACGGCTGACAAGACGGGCGAGCGCAAGCGTCAAACGAGGTTTCTGGAGAATTTAATGGCTTTAAAGGTCAAGAGAGGCGAAAAGGACGAGGTCACGGTGTATGCCCACGCGGCGCCGAAGCCGACGGACATAGGTTCGAACAGCCGAAGAAAAAGACGGAAGCCGTTGCCGGATGGACCAAAGAAACGTGCAAGCCGGGGCGGCGGCGGTGTCCGCGGGAGAGGTGGCTCTTCCGCATTGGGAACGGGTGGTTCTGATCGAAATGAGCGACAAGGCAGCAGCGTTGCAGAGGCTGCGGCGACCTCACGGGATGGGGCAGCGTTGTCTACGCCAACGCCGACGACATGGGCGAACCTAGATGGACAGGGCGGAAGAGCGGAGAAAGGTTCGGGCCCGAAAGATGATGACGAGGCCAGCGACAACGACTATGAAGAAGACGACGACGAGGATGGCGGAGATTAGGAGTAGGCCTTGTCAGGAATGTATCCATCAATCCGGGATACGAGTTTCATCGGGCCATACAAACTTTGCGTTCGCGATGGTATATCTCGCAATTCGGAATCAGCGTATGCTGTTGCCTGTTGGTAAAGATGATTGAAGATGGAGCCCAGATAGGGCGAAGCCTCGGATGAGACGGTGAAACTATGTGACAGCCGTTGCGAGGCTCTACTGTGGTAGGGCCCCTCCTCCGGTGCCGGGCTCTCCTGGGCAGGCACATGGAATTTCGGGAGAGACATGCATGGAGGCATGATGTGGTCAGGCTGACGAGAGGTCCCGGGGAGACTCGTACAGGGCCGTAGTGTGGCCTCGGCAGCAGTGCGAGCACGGCTAAACCTAGAGCTGATGAACTATGATCATCCAAAAGAATCCTGCGACATCAGCACTGGTTTACGAACTATGGAAGTATTGTCCGCCTCGTGAGAATTACATGGGCTGAAAACTGTTGGCCGCTAGGTACGGATACTGATGCCGGCAGTGTAGTCAGCGGGAAAATCGGAGATTAGTTGGGAATACTTCTAGAAAGATTGCCTTCCTTTCAAAACGGGGAAAATAGGCATGCCAGAAAAGCCTCAGAATGGAGTGTTTCCTACTACTTACATAATAGCTCACGGGTTTCGGCAGATGGTTATTGAGCCCTGTGTCTGCAAAGTCATCCCGGCACGTCACTCAGGAAGCCCACCCGCCCACTGCCAGCTCACATGGGGACAGGGAGCGACTTTTACTGAAGGATACACAGCAAGACGACTCGTGATGAATGGGTGGCTACAGGGATCGGCTGCTTGCCGTACTTTGGTCATCTAGCGACATAGGTAGAGGCGACGGTATGGTGTACACTAAGGTATTGCGTACGGACACATCAAGAGTTAAAGACAAGGCGCGAGTAAAGGCAGGGCGGTGGAGAGTCAGCAGCGTGCGGAACTGGAGCTTTACTCCTCGTGGGAATCTGCAGGGATCTGGTTGGTCCCGCAGATCGCTGAACCCTCCCGGTCTGCTGCCTGCATGAGGTACCTGGAACCTTGGTGCCACTCCCTTCCTCTTTCTTTGGAGAATAGGCAGAGAGATACCTGCCTCATCCGGGCGATCATGGTAGATAATGCATGTATCTCTGCTCTAGTCAGGAAGTGTACCAATATCTAGCTAGTGCCCCCGTTGCAAGGTACTCTGTACGGATACAGAAAAGGATTCAAAGAAAGAAATCCAGATCCCTTGGTCGGGTGGCGGGCTGCATCAGAGACAGACCCAGCCAGTAGTGGAACATCCATCCGCACCCCCCTCCAATCCCCTCCCGTCTGCCGTCCTCCCACGTCCAGGTTCATGGCCGAATCCAGCACCAAGTAACCGTACGTCCCTGATGATTGATGGCCCTTGCTTCCCTGCTTCCTGCGGGTTGCTGCCGCTGTCTCTCTCGCCGTCCGCCGCCCGCGCATACCGCTGACCGCATACCGCTAGGTTCCGTCCCAAACCCCAACCCAAAGCTTCCTTCTTACTTGCACTGCTCAACTCTTTTTCCCTTCACACACTTGCGCCTAACAAACTTTCTCTGTCCAACAACACAAAACACTTGACCAAGGGGCCTCAGCGTCCGACCGGCCATGCATATCCGCTCGCACCTCCCTCCTTCGACATCTCAATAGTAGACTACACCCTACATGTACACTTGGTGATGCTGTGCGAGACCCCGCTGGCTTTCGCAAGACGTGCCGGCATCCCGAAGCCCCTCCGAACCATCACTCAGCCTCCATAACTGCGAATAGCTTATTACCAATCGATCTCGGCACCCTATTTTATACCGGCACCCTTTTGAGGCTCTTTTGTTATTCTCACGAACCCAATTCCTATCCTGCGAGGCCTGGAGCCACCAACGAACTTATCCGATGTATTATCTACGCCGCTTCACCATCTTCCTCGCCTTCCTGGTGTCGGTGTCGTTCCTCGCATGGTTCCTACCCCGCTACCTCAATCCAAACCCGCCAGACCCGGCCAAGCAGCGCGAGGATAAGAAATGGGTCAGCAGCAGCCCGTACTGGCTCGACCGTCAGGCCTGCCGTTGGCTGAGTCTCTGCGGCGTTCATCATCTCTCATGGGACCCAGCTTCTCTCTTCCCTTACAAGAACGACTCCGACGCCGGTGATTTGCGGTTGGAGCTTAGGTCTCTGGATGGACGCCATTCTGGATGGGAGACGGCACCCAAGAAGCGCTCGCCGCGGGACGACAAGGAAGAGAGGAGGAAGGTGTTGAAGGAGATTCCCGACTATGTTCTCAAGTATGCGCCGCTAGTCCACCTCTACTCGGGCGAGAACTTCTGGCCCGCCGACATTGCGGAACACATTCGGCACATGACGCCCTACTTGGAGAAAGAGGCGTTGAACCGTTCCCTGATTTTATCGGATTTGCACATGCTCAACAAGGAGGACGGCATGGTCTACCTCACCAGCGATGACGACGTCGAACAGAGACCCGAATGGCTGCACAGTCATGTTGGCATTCCTGAGCCATGGAATGATGATGAGGACGACGGCGACAAGGACGAAGCGCCCGACAGCCCAGTTGGGGACTCTGAACACCCGCGACATGACACTGAGGATACGACGTGGTTCGACGTATCTCGCGATCACCCCGTTCACCGCATCTCGGACCCTCGTCGCTACCCACAATTCCCAGAAGGCTCCGCCCGCACCGCCGGCTTCCAGCACCGCCGCCGAGACCAGGGCCAGAAGCCCATTCCCGACACGCCAACCCACAAGCCCGATCAGGAAGGCTACTCAAAGGCCCCGGCCGTTCTCGTCCTCGTCGACAAGGGCTCCGGCATCGTCGACGCTTTCTGGTTCTTCTTTTACTCGTACAACCTCGGTCAGACGGTCCTGACCATCCGCTTCGGCAACCACGTCGGCGATTGGGAGCACTGCATGATGCGCTTCGAGAATGGCGTGCCCCGTGGCATCTTCTTCTCGGAACACGAGGGCGGCCAGGCTTACACGTACAACGCCGTCGAGAAGCGGGGCGAGCGTCCCGTCATCTACTCCGCCGTCGGCTCTCATGCCATGTACGCGCAGGCTGGCGAGCACCCGTACGTGCTGCCCTTCAAGATGCTCAAGGACGTGACCGACAAGGGACCCCTCTGGGACCCGTCAAAGAATGCCTACACCTACTGGTACGACTACGTCCAGGATTTGGACGAGGACCTCGACGACGACCTCGATGACGAGGTCGACGTGGCTAGCGGCCACCGGAAGGAGAACCCCACCAGTCTGTTCCCCACGGCCGAGAACCCCGACGCCCCGACGTCATGGTTCCATTACGCCGGCCCTTGGGGCGATAAGCTCTACAGCTTGGCCGATATGCGCCAGTGGCGCTTGTTCGCGCAGTACCACTACGTCTCCGGGCCGTTGGGCCCAAAGTTCAAGCGCCTCGATCGTGAGAAGCTTTGCATTACTACCCGCTGCCGGATCCTGGATAGCTTAAAGCCCGGACAGACGTGGTACAGTTAGATGATTTTTCTTGGTAATAGCATAAAAAGAATAAAGACCCAAAGAATTTTCATAATCATGCATGTTGATGCTCAGGGTACGTGACAAGGGCGTGCAGCAGAGCATCCCCCGCTAATGTGTACGGTCTGCTTTCGTTCCCCAACAACATCCGTCAGTTGAAGTTCTCGCCAACTCCCACCAGCCTAGGTGCCAACTCAGCACGCCAAACTATTTGTTATGCCAACATGATTTATATCAATTACGGCTTGGCCCACACAGCCGGTTACTACTGGAGATGACCCAAAGCGTCTTGCTTGGTTCGCGACATTTTCTGACTTGAGTTCAGGTGCTAGAAGGGTCGTGAGAAGTAACGGGAATACGCTTGGTTCTTGTAGCCAGTGAGACGGAGATGAAATTCTTAGTGATGGGATCCTTGACACAAACCTGGCTAGACTAAGACGTGGTAGCTCGGTGCGCAGGTGGAAAAGGCGTGTCTGAAAGAACACTGAACAGGAATGAGGCTATCGTGACAACATCTCCCTCTCCATGTATTTTCTGTTTAAGCTTGGGTCCAATTGGGACACCCGGACCAATAAGCGTTCAACAAAAGTACAGTAAGCTGCCAATATGAGGAAAGAATCGGACACTGCGCAAGATCGTAATGCTACCTAAGCGATGCAAATCTCGCCATTAAATTGTAATGAATGAAGTAACTGGTAGGGCCCAGATCTTTTCAGCATGCTGGTGGGGAGGAAAGCCAAAATTTGCCCTTCCTGTTGATTCCGATTCCGTTCCATACTCCGCATCATGTCTTTCCTCTTCACGTCTTAAGAGTCCATGGGCGATGAAGTTTCTAAGAAGGTAGATTGAAAATACATGATCATCCTCACTCACTTTCACAGACATACTGGTGATTCTCCATTTCGAGCACCTCGTCATTGAGAGGAACATCCCTCTCAACCTCCATTTGTTGCCGACGTTCAACATCTCTAGGACTTCGTGATCCGCCACATTTCTGATCAAAGCCATCCGGTGGAAGCAGACTATGTTGGCTGGTCATACATTCTAGCTTCTCCTTAGTGATATGGCGATCGCAGAGGCAAGCCCTGAACCCATAAACACCTATGTCGGGACAGCAATAGAAATCCCGTGCGAGAGCGCATTTCTTTGCATGTCTTGCTACTAGCCAGAGGACTCCTCTAGCCTTGATACAAATCATTCCGTCCACGTTCCCATCTTGTAGGTCAAAGAGTATTTCGTCCACGGTGCGCGGTCGCCTAAGCTTGTGACAGACTTTTGCGTCGTTTTCTCCAACACAGTCGATGAGAAATTCGACTGAGTATTTGCGGAGAATGCAGAGACTCAGTTTGCACCAGTCCAGCGATTCAGTTGCAGATGATATGCAGCCCTTAGTACTTGTATGGCGCAATTCTTGGCTTTCTTGCTACTGGCAAGTTGAGTAGCGGAAATTCTTCTTCGACGAAAATTCAAATGCCAATCAACCAAATTGCAATTCGGTAGCAGATACGTGTAAAACACATTATGGCAAGCAATCTCTCGGTCGCAGGACTTTCCAATGCATGTTCTTAAGGAGTTCAAGCTTAGATGGGGCGCTCCTGGGTATTCATGGGCTCGACATGAACTGCAAAAAGACTTGCAGAAGCTGTTGAAGGAAGTCACTCCGCCTTCTCATCCAAGTACTACTATACGGAGGGTCTACATATCCTTGGATGCTCTCGATGAATGGGATTCCGAAGACCGCAGTCGCTTTTCAGGACTCGAATTCTTGGAAGACGTTGTCAAGGATGGCCGTATACCACTCAAGATTTGCGCATCTCAACGCCCTCTTACATCAGCGTCGTCAATCGCGCCGATGGAGTCTTGTCAAAAAGACCTCCAAATCAAAATGGAGAATTTTAACAGCGAAGACATCGATCAGTACCTTCAAAAGAAAGTCAAAAGAAAGTCAAAAGAAAGTCAAAAGAAAGTCAAAAGAAAGTCAAAAGAAAGTCAAAAGAAAGTCAAAAGAAAGTCAAAAGAAAGTCAAAAGAATTCACAATGTGAATGGGGAAAACTGTACGCTACTTATCGACAATCTCAAGCTCAATGCCAACCACAATTTCATGTGGCTCGTATTGATTGTCAGGGAGTTTGAGAGATGGACTGGAGCGAACCTTGTCGTCGAGGAGGAGTTTCTCAAAAAGCTCCGTGATATCCCGAAAGATCTGAAGAATCTTTATTATGAGATTCTGACGAGTCTTGCCAATGAACGTCAGCATTCTACACGGAAAGCAAGCTACTTTCTTCTTCAACTTGTGGCTTTTGCCAAAGAGGCTCTGTCACTCCAAGAAGTGATGGAGGCTACTTCCGTCTTCATCTACCCAGATACTTGGGCAAAAGAGCTGGAGCGTTTTAAGAAAGGTGACTTCGCATCAGACATAGGCCCGTTGGTCGAAGAGCCTCATCAGTGTTGTTCCATCAGAATACGACACGACTGGGACTGACATTGTGCAGTTGGCGCACATATCGATCTACCGTCTTTTGGTAGACGAAGACGGGCTGCAATCATTTGATCCAAATGCCACCGCAAGCACCCATCATTTTGGCATTTTTGAGCTTTGCACGAAATATATGGAGCGCGACCAATTAACGAAAGAAAGTTTAAAGATAACCCAATACGTCTTCTCTTTCTATCTAGAACACGCTCGTCATTGTAATGAACTTTTACAAGAGAGGCGGTTCGTCTACCCGAGGTTTCTTACAGAATGCAGCAGGCCTACTAAGCAAATAGTCTATTTGACTTACAAGAACATGATCCGGCGCGGTCATCTTAGTAAGTTTACAGCTCGGGGTTCGATAACCGGCGAGAAGCGTCTCGTGTGTCTACTAGCCGCCGAGGGGTGTAGGCATCTGCTGCTGATGCATCAAGGATGCCGAGCCTGCTACGGCACAAACGTGTCCTTTGAGGACAAAGAAGATATGCTCGGCAATGCATTGATCCAGGCAGTCGAGCAAAATAGGGAGGAGACTGTCGAACTTCTGGTGAAGCAGCTGAAGTGCAACGTCAATTTCTCAGAAGGGCCCACCTCCAAGACACCTTTAGTCCGCGCAATTTCCTTAGGAGCAGAGAACATGGTCGCCAAACTACTTGAGCTGGGTGCTCAAGTAGACAAGTGCGTCTCAATAACCTCCAGGTCGCCTTTGAATACAGCAGTAGGATACCGAAATTCGAACATTGTCAGAGCGCTTCTCAGCCATCCAGGAGTTGATCGCCGGCGCCTGCTTCGACAACCCGACTGGGAAGGCCAGTACGCTCTGCATATTGCCGCGAGACATGGGCTGTTGCCAGTGGTAAAAATTCTCTTCGAGACGTGTGAGCGCGACGAGATTGACTACATGGTGACTTTGAGAGATGAGAATGGGGAAAATGCATTTAGGGTCGCAATGAGAGCCGGCAATCACCAGATTGCCCACTTTATATCGGATTCACCGTGTCATGGAAACGTGGAAGATTGAATTCTGGCGAATATACTTGGTGTTTTCCTAAAATCATCCTGGAAATGTTGAATATCTGTCGACTCCAATTGCAATGTCCGCCATGAGCCGCGACTAATACATCATCGTTCAGGACAATTGCTTCACACTTATTGCGTGAGGCCCGATGCTCATGCCTGGAAGTCTTGCGTCCCTCAATAAGTGCCACACGGCATCGTGGTGCCTCAATCTCAAATCTGCTTGTCCACAGTTCAAAGCACAGTCTAGACTCGTCTAGCGGGCCGCCTCGGCATATGGCGAAGCCGGGGAAAGAAGACTAAGCCAAGTACGAGAGGAGCGCACAGCAAACATTTCAAATCGCAGCTGCAAGTTATTCTTCGCACGTGCAGACGCCAAAAAGCTAACGCTACCTAGATGGCTGGGCAGTGACATTGGAGAGAGATGAAGAAGAGCCCTCTGTAAGACTGCAGTAGTCAAGAGTATTGTGTCAGTGCGTAGAGTACTGGATATGACTGCCCGACGGGAGTCAAGCCATCCGAACTGTATCGTTCACGAGCTATCCTCATTTAACCTAGATATCCAAACATGGTCTAGACCGGGTTGGCCTCAGCTCGACTCAGCTCTTGTTTTGAGGAACGCTACCTGAGGTTATTTGATATCTGTCTCAGTAGCTTATCGTGGTTAAGAAAAAGTGGATATCTCAGGAACGCAATCGATTAATGGGAATGGCTGTGGGCGTAGGGAATGCTAGATCATGCCTGGGAGAAGAGACATGCGCAGATAGGATACTCCCGGGCACGATACGATTGGGAACGGAACAAGAGACGTCAACGTTCCAGTTGAGCCCGTCACTCAGGTTTGGGTTCGTGGGATGTTGGGCAGTGATCTGCACATTGTCTTTCACGTTTTCGCCGCCCTGAACTGCGCACATACTGTAAGAACATGCCATTTGGCGGACCGGAATGCCAGATATCCTGAAAACCCTTTCCTTTCCCCCAGGTTTTCCAGTAACAGATTAGCATTCGGTTCACGGAATTGGTAGCGATCAGAGGATTCAAATCAAGCCGAGGGTCAGCGGGATTCGCAGTGGGCAAACGGTGACGGCGGCGGCGACGGGATTCGTGTGCGTTGTGGAGACGAATGACCACGGGGTGGGGCCTGCTGGCTGGAGACATTTGAGGTGCTTGTCCTGCTGGAAGATTCATGAAGGGAGTGGCGGCGTGGTGGAGAATGGGTAGACGGTCACGAACGGTCTTCGGCTCGGGTGTTCGGCGCCTGGGAGAGGCTTGGAAGGTCTCTAGTGACGGAACGCCGAGAAGTCTGTGGCTTTCCCTGATGGATAGTTCATAGAGTTTGGTTGGTGGGCAGAAGCTTGGATAAGAAACTTGAACTTCCTCTCTCTAAAGACAGCAAGATCGGAGGCCGCGTAACGCGGAATGGTCCCCAACTGTGGCTGACAACGAATCACTGCGCAGTTTCCAAGTATCCACTCTACGTGTGGCGCGAGGCATGTTACGCCGTAGCCAATCACGGGCAAGGCGTATGCCCCACCCAATTTATTCAGGTCGTCAGGGTCCTTTCCGGTGGGAGAATGCAGAATACCTTACCTAGGTACCCCACCTCCGCCCGCCGCATCGCCGCATATTTCTTCCGGTCCTCAACAGTGATGGGATCTGTCCCAATGGGGTATAGCCCATAGTAGGCGCAGAAGGGGCAGGGATGCTTACGAATGATTCCAGCGAGAGAGAGAGAGGGAAAACTGCCTGGCTGTGGGCACTGCTGGTCCCCTTTCCAGCTGAGAGAAGAAGGCGCAAGAAAGGGTGCCATTGCGGTGGATACCGGCAACGTTGACCCATGGAGAAACGGCAAGAAAAGGGTTCTTGATGTTCTTCCATGGGGCATGGCACCCGCGGGCCAACAGACCTTCCGGATAGAACGAATAAAGCCTCAAATAAGACGCGCCCGATCTCTACGAATAGGGAGTACGGAGTAGTGTATACTCACGCACTAAGGGACTCTTCATCGCCTAGTACCGATACAGCTTTGTGGACAAGGGGAGCGGTAAATGAGAGTTCTAAGCATAGTTGGATTTAGAGTGTGGTCCCCCTCTAGGCTCTGCGACGCTGCGCGTTGGGCTGAGCCGGGGTAGGCTTGCGCCGCTTGCCAAGCTCGGCGCCAAGAGCTAGTACAAACGTGGACGGTTGAGGCTTGGGAAGTCGACGACTTGTCAGTCTTGAGTTAGCATTGCTAGCTAACCTCATGGTCTGCCGTGTGCCGTGTGCCGGTCAGCGACAAGTCACGGGGAGCTGTGTCTTGTTAGCTGGCCTCACGATGTTGCTTTGCAGTAGTAGTGAGATGATTAGTGAGTAAAGGAGTCAGTCGTCTCCCTGGAGGCCAGTGAGGGAGCCGGCAATGAGACACCGAGACATCGGGTGAGCGCCCAACCGTGGGGTTTGATTGGCATCGCTGGATCGTCGGAACGCTAATTGATGTGGGAAACGAGGTGACACTGGGGACAGTGACGATTGACCTGGATACTCTCGGTTGCGGTGTATGAGGTATGGAGACGGTGAGCCTTGAGGGGAGATGCTTTGGTTCCCTCAAAAACAACCCTCTCTCCTTCCTGATGCTCTTGCTTTGACTCTTGATGACCACTCCGTTTGGACAGGTTTTTGGTGTTGCACGAGTAGTGAGTCCCTAACGCCAATCGTGGCAGTTGACTGGGGCCAGTAGCAAGAAAGCTTCTTGTTCCATCTTGCTTACTAGAGGCTGGGGCATGTCATGAGTCGACACCCTAGATGGTTGTCAGAGCTTGGTGGACGAGAATAACACACGGGCGATAGCTCAAAAAGAATCATCAGCAAAAACACCAACAGAAAAAAAAAAAAGTCACAGACAATTGCCGGACAGGTGCCATATTGCGATGTGATGGGGATCGCGGGTTTGGGACAGCGACTACGACGGGCTAAATGGCGTTAAACCCTGGATGTCTTTTCCCGGTTGGGAAAGGCGCGGCTGGGTACCTCTTCAAGCCCGTGGGACGGATATGACCGACCGGCCGGGTACACCTGGCGGGGGGCCGCCTCTTTGAGATGCTACGCTGGTGATCAATTCGGTCACTGGTGTCAATCACTGTCAACTAATCCCTTCTTCTGCTCTCAGACATGCAACAAGGTAGTAGAGTGATTGACAAAACTGACCTCACCGGTCGCGGCCTTCCAACTTTCTCTCCAAGTTACTGCCGTCCAAAGGAGGGAGGGCAATAGCACTAGACGATATAAACAACGGGGATGCCGCCTGCCCGCGAGGTTGACACTGTCCACGGTTCGCATCGTAACTTTGGAAAGAACAACCTTGACCACTTGCAACGCCCCTTCCTTGAACTTCTACCTGTACTTCGTACTTGAATGTCATCACTCCTCCCCACTTTCAGCATAACGAACCGCACGTCAACAGTCAACGCAAACCACAACATTTTGACTCGAGATCCCCGCCTCCAAACTTGAGGATACTTTCCTGAGATCATCGTATCTTCCTCTTCTCTGACGAGACACACCTCCTCGACTCAACATCCCATAACACCCAAGCTTTTCACCTATTCTCGAACCTTGCAACCTGCGAATACCTTCTCACGTTCATCCTACCTATCCCCGCAAAGCCGTTTCAGCTTCGACTCTCGACGATAACAAACTTGGACCAAAGACGATACTTTTTGTCACTACTCCGTACTCAGCGTCTTGATTTTCTTCTTCACCATCATCTTCGGCACAATACCCAGCTTGTGTCCCCTACCGCGCGCTTGTTCAGTGGAGACCACTTTGGACCCCTCGACGTCTTCGTCATTCTGATTCTGCCACTCGACGCAAAAGCAATTTCATCGGGACATCCAGTCAACCCGCCCAGAACATACCACAGACAGCTGAGCGCCTGGTTAACACGGATTCAACTCTCCGTCCCGCTGCGCTGCGCTGTCTTGCCCAGACTCCCCGCCTGTCCTACCGCCTACCCAAGACAGGATTATTCCTCAAGAGGGTTCCACCGCTGACGCTCTGGCTCCCAACCGAGCGGAATACCGGCACACATCGCACCAATGGCCTTCGTCGCCCAAGGTAAGCCATGCCATTTTCCCATGTTTGCCATGTCTCTCAGTTTCTTGTCCGTCCCCCAAGCACACCAATCTCCATTCCTCGCCTCTTCTTTTCTTTCCATTTCCTCAACCCACTCAGTCCCCTCTTCCGTTTGCTTGGAACCCTTGTCGTCCACTCGTCATTCCACGATGCTCAAGAGAGGAAACTGTCCTCCGCCGCCGGGATTCCCGTGCTCTCTCGCAGAACGGAGGCTCCTCCACCTTCAGGCCACTCTACATTTTCTCTTCACTTGCACCACTTGTTGGTGTTTTTTTTTTGTTGGGACTATCTTTTCTCGGTAACTTTCCATGAAAGCCTGAGAATGGTGTGGCACCATCAGAGTTCGGAACATGACACTGCCAAACACCAATCGTCATGACTTCCATGTGCGCATGGTGTGCCCGAGTCCCTCATGCAGGTCATCCCAGGCTGCCGCTGGCTGGCTGTAAGCTGCTGGCTACTGCAAGTTGCTGCTCAAGTGTTTCTGCAGACCAAGCAAAACAACCAGCCAAAAGTATCCGTCCAAACTTCACCGCTGGTGTGAGTGTGTCTCTGAGCGAGTTTAGTGCTCCGGCTTCTGCGTTTCTTCCTATGTCCAAGGCTGCATGTCCTCGAACATTTGTTAGCTCTTCCCCGCCTCTCGTGCCGTACAACCCTGCCACCCCTAGTCACTGGCTGGCATTGCTGTGCTTTGCTGCGGCCCAGTCATCCCATCGCTGCTGCTGCGCTCGACTGTGCCTTTGCAAGCGGAAGGCCGAGCCCGAGCGAGCGAACAGCGCAGCGCAGCACCCAGCAATGGAGCGAGAGCGAACAAGAAACACCAGGGCACGCAAGTCAGACCTCGTAGGGATCCCCTCCAAGTCTCCTACACCGGGGCCATTCGTTACCCGCCGTGCACAGGAAATCCAAGAGGCGGAACGACGGTTACGTGTTTCCAGATGCGGCAAAACAAGAAGAGCCAAAAAAGCATAGGCCAGTGGCTACTCTTCTTCTGACTGCAACCTGCTCTAAATACCGTGACTATCCCACCCCTCCCCATCTGAGGCCCCATTCCCGCGGTTAGTTCCAGCTACTGTGTTCCATTCACACTATTGAGCGAAAAGAGAACGCCCAGAGGCGGATTACCGGTGCGGAGTCTCGCATTCTCATTTGCTCATAACTGCTGCTGCTGCTGCTCTCGTCTCGTTCCTGACCTTGCCGTTCTGGTCTCATTAACTGGTCTCGTCTTATTTGGGAGGGGATTCGTAATTGCCCAAGACGCTAAAGGATCAAACGGCAACACTCATCACCGAACTGCCTCAGCAAAGAAACCCCGACGGCGTCTCGCCCTGTTCTATTTTCCTCTCACCTTTCTGTCTCCCAAAACTTCTTTGTTCCCTCCTCTCTATTATCCAGATTTCCAGTTATTCTGCAACAGTTTTCTGTTACCTACCCACAACAAAGGGAGCAGCCTCTCTCACTCATCTGCGGTCTACTATTTGCCCCCCCGGCTTCTACCCATCTTATTTACCACCACCCCCCGACGCTACTATTCCACTGAATACTGGCCCCAAAAAAACTCCCCGCTGCGACCGCTACCTGACCTCCCACCACTTTATTACCGTCGATCTTCCACCATCGGTTCCCCCACAGTAAACTAAGATCGTATCTTCGCGCAGAGCCTCACACAATGACCAACACACCACGAAGTCCGTCGACCAAGAGCCAGGCTAGTCTTCGAGACACTGGCTTCCCTGAGCCTTTCAACGGAGGTGAGTGTTTGGAATGATATACAAGATTTACGATTTACATACTAATGAAGCATAGAACGCAACACTACGCTCCCGCATCCCGACGCCAACCTTTCGCCCAACGCAGTCATCTCGCAGGAGGATCTCGCTGGAAACCGAGCTCGCACACGACGTTCTTTCCTGCAAAAGCATAGACGCACCATCAGCCATGGACGCATCACTCCTCAAATGGAGGCGCTCTACAGCAGCGAAGCCCTTGCCGAAGCCGAAGCTGCCATCCTCGATGCAGATGTTCCGTCCAACACCAGCCAGTCTAGTCTGCCGGCTGCGGGACGCATGAGCAGAGACGATGCCGAGAGCATGCTTTCCCACAGCGGTGGCGACCTGTCGCCCGTCACATCGGCTCAGAGCAATGGACGCAAAGGCAGCCTGTTTAGAAAGCTTGGCTGGAAGAAGCCTTAGAGTCACATCTGCGATACGAAAATGAGGAGTCACGAAACTAGGCGGCGAACTATCGACCCGATGTACCGCGCACACGATTAAACGGCCAAAAAGAATTTGTAAAACAGACAAACCACAGCGCAAGCGCGGAGTTTTCTTTTGACTCGCAACACGGGGTTGGGCACAACCAAAGGCGGGCTTGGGATTTTGATTTTGGGAATGGATTTGGGACACGGAGTATAGGGATGGTACGACATCAGGGCATTGTTATCGAGGATATTGGTCCTCTGAATCTTCACCTTCACAGAGGGTCCTGGCGGATGGAAATTTGCATCACGAGGGACAATAACCTACGACGGTGAACAGACTATCGTTAAAACATAGTAATTCTATCGTTTAGTTGCAAGTCTCTTGCACTATTCACTTGGCCCTTTCTTCTGCCCTTCGATGTGATTATCGAGCCCCCACCCGCCAAAGGTGACATTGATTTTTCTTGACATGTGAGGCTACCCTTAGTCATTGAGGTATTTCCGAAGCAAAATCTAGCGAGCTCATGAACCCGCAAGCCAGACCCTCGTACCAATGACTAGCCCATCATACGAATCCCTCTTCTCGGCTCTCTACCCACATGGAACTCATCTTACTCACAGTCTTCATACTAGACCAGCCCCACCTCATCTCATCCCCCTCTGCAAACCCGAAGTCATCCCCTTGACATCCGGACAAGAAGCTTTAGCTGCCCCGGTAGGTGGTATAGCTATACGGGCTCAACAGCAACGGAACGTGATAATGCTGACCCCTCTTCACCGTGAACACCACCACGGCCTCAGGGAAGAAGGTCTCGTCCTCGCCGCCAAAGTAGGACGCCGTGTCGAACTTGAGCGTCCAGCGGGAGGATGTCGCGGTGGAAGCGGAGGCGGCCTCGATCTCGCCGAGGACGTCGTCGAGGGTGTAGACGGGGACTTCGCCGGACGAGGTGGCGGAGGAGAAGGGGAGCCAGGATTTGACGCGGCCGTCTTCGTCTGTGGTGGATTCGAATTCTTTGAGGATGCCGCCGGATGGGGCGCCGGGGGATGCCGAGCCGGAGGTGACGGTGTTGGCGGGGGAGGGGATGGTGGTGGAGAGTTGGACGCGGACGTTGCGGGCTGGTTTTCCGGCTGATGTGTCTAGGACGTGGCAGGTTATGCGGTCTTTTGTCTGGGTGGCCATTTTGGCGGTTGAGGTTGAGGTTGAGGTTGTGGATGTCGTTGTGGTGGTGTGAGGGTCGAGGTTTAGTTTGCTTCGTAGGGGCATGGGAAGTTAGAGATGGTTGTGGTGGAGGTTGGGCTGAGTTGGGTGAGTGAGTATGAGTGTGAGGTGGTGGTGGTGATGGTGGTGGTGGTGGTGATAGGTTGAGTGAGGTGAGAGGTGAAGTGAGGTGAGGCTCACGCTGGATGGCGGGGTAAAGTCGCCCTGCCTGCCTGCGTGTAAGGCGGAAATGCTTGGCTCTCCTGCCTGGTTGAAGTGGGGCGCTTTGTAGGACCTGAGTCCTAGGTGAAGAAGTACCGGGCTTACAACTACTGGTCTAAAATCCGATTTTTCAAGCAAAATTAGTAGAGGGAGTTTACAAAAGGGATATGCAGGCGGTTTGGGAAGAAACACGGGCGGCTTTTGTTCTGTCGCGGCGGCTATAGCATGTTTTTTTCCTTTCTTCGGGGGACCGAAGTCGGTGCCGGACGGCGCCGTGATGCGACGACGGGAGAATGGCGGGGCCCACAAATAAGATTGTACGGACACGGGTATGGCCCCGGAACCGAATGGCTTTTGAAAGGTGCGTCTTGAAATGCCTAGACCTCCCTTGAGTTAAACGATGTTCAACTCGATTTTAGAAACGCTTTTTTCATCTGTTTTCCCCTGATGCGCAGGATCAAAGATGGTGGGTATGGAACACAAGCTACATAGGCCTTCTCCTGATAAGAGATACTTGAAGGTCAGAACCCAAAAGGAGGTGCGCTTCATTTAAGCCTGCTTTTTATTACCGACCAAGATGTAAATGGATTGATAGATCTCTTAGATATGCAAAGCTAGGAATCTGCACTACGGCAGTATTTGGCAAATTTCCGTGCTGCCTTTTGATACCAACCAACATTGCCAGCTTTCTTGAGAACTCTCAAAGGGTGTCTCTGAGAAAGTCACCAATCCAACGGGCGACGGCTCCCTCTTCAACATTTGAGGTTGACACGCGATAGATTGAATAACTAACGTAGATGTATCATAAGGACCCCCTCTGCCTTACTCCGTAAATTAAAGACTTCCGTACTTTACGGCAACGCATCCGTGAGATGGTGGAAGGATGGGAGGGGCACAGACAAAAAGCTCCGGCACATGCCGGGGGGACAGAACGGGAGGCCCCGGCGGGTGGACCTGGATGTTGCTGGCGCCTTAGTACGCCTAGGTGGAAGTTTGAAGAGGTCTGGGCTTCTGTCACCGCGCCACAGAATACCACACCAAATGGCAGCATACGTCATTTGGCCTGTGCGCATTCCACGACACACACAGAGAGAGCCTATCGTGCTTATCGCAGGAACCCTGTTTGCCCCCAAACCAATCACAGACTCTACAATTGACGGCAGACCGTGATGACGAGCGGAATTCCTTCAGTCTTGAGGATACCAAGACGCCAACCTCGAGCCAAGAAGAGGCCAAGAAACCAAGAAGACCAAGTAGAAGCCAGGGAAAAAGCTCAGTTCGTTCGTTGGGTGTTGTGGTCTGCAAGTACGGGACTAACTAGGAAATCAGCGAAGTCAATGGCTCGTCCAAATCGTACCATGGAATCTTCTTTGGTGTTTTGAGTTTTTTACCAGTGCGACGGTCCGGATACCAAGCCTCTAAGACAGCCTAGACCTTTCGTCACTACGTATGGTGATGTACGATTTCGCCTTGAGGTTTCTAGTGTATTGAATCCCAGCAATGATGTACCTACCTTTTCGCACAGCAGGGAACCGTGATGTTCTTCGGCTCTTTCACGTTAGGTCTCTACTTGTGTGAGATGGACCGGGAGAGAAGCATTGTAGTCTCGATGCAATGAAGACGAATGAGACAGTACATAGGTCTCTTTTGATACTCTCTTCCATGTACCAGGTCCAGATATTCATACTACGTGTATCCGTGCCAAAAACACCAAGAAGCTTGGCTCGTCCCGGCTGACGTACGACACACGCGATCCACCACCACCGCACCAAGCAAGCGCGCAACACTCCCACATTGGCACATGAAAAGGGGAAATCACCGCCAAGCAGAGCCAAGTGTAAAATGAGCGCAACACGCATCTTAGTCCCGTTTCCATAGCCCAAATCCCCAAGAAAGCCCTGTTGGCCTTGCGTCCATTCAAAGATATAGACACCATGGTTGTCCGTCATATACTTCCTGTCCCCCGACCGTTTCTCCTCTTCAAATATCCATTCGCATCCATCGCTCTCTGGGTCACAGCGACTCAATAAAAGGAAGACAGACAGGCAGGCAGAAGAAACGTCAGTCCGTGAGGGTACTTGATCAGCAAAAGAACAAAGGCCTTCATGGCTACCCCCACAACCCACCCCGTCACGAACCCCAACGAGGGCGTCACATACCTCACCGAAGACGAAATCACCTCCTTCCTCGACGACCTAGACCACAACGGCGACGGCTACATCGACTACGCCGAGGTCGAAGCCAAACTCGACGCCGCCCACGACGAGCTCGCGCCCGGCGGTCAGGTAAAACCGCACCACGTCATCAGCCGTCACCCCCCTCCAGAGAAACCGAATCAGTCGTCAGACGAAAACCGCCTCCGTCATGAATTCCTCCGCTCCATAATGGGCCTCGCCGGCTCCGACGACAACAACGACACCTCCCGCTCCCACCGCATCCCCCGCGCCGCCTTCGCAGCCCGCGTCCGCGAATGGAAGATCCCCTCCCTAAAACAAGACGCCGACTCGGAATCCTTCCAACGTGACTTCATCCAGCACCTCCGCCTCTCCCGCCGCCTCCGAGCCTACTGGGCCGTCCACGGCCCCGAAATCGCCTTCCTCGGCCTCGTCGCCTCCTCCCTCATCGCCTTCGGCGTCTGGCAATGCGTCAAATACGCCACCACCCCCCAATACCGCGCCGCCTTCGGCTGGGGCGTCGTCCTCGCAAAGACGTGCGCCGGCATGCTCTATCCGACCTTCTTCTTCCTCATCCTCAGCATGTCGCGCTACTTCTCCACCGTGCTCCGCCGCTCCTACCGCGTTTCTCGTTTCGTCAACTGGGACCTCAGCCAGAGCTTCCACATCAAGATCTCATGCCTCGCGCTCGCGCTCGCGACGCTGCACGCCGTAGGCCACCTCACGGGCTCCTTCTACCACGGAAGCCGGCCCGAAAACCAGGACGCCGTGGCGGCGGTCCTGGGCCCGGACGCGGTGCCGAGGCCGTACGTCGAGTACGTCCGCTCGCTGCCGGGATTCACGGGCCTCACGGCGCTGGGGCTCTTCTACCTCCTCGCCCTGCTCAGCATGCCTGCCGTGCGACGTTGGAACTACGAGGTTTTTCAACTGGCGCACCTGCTCATGTACCCCATCATCGGTCTCATGATGGCCCACGGCACGGCGGCGCTGCTGCAGTGGCCCATGTTCGGCTACTTCCTCGCCGTGCCGACGCTGCTGATCCTCGTCGAGCGCGTCGTCCGCGTCGGGACCGGGTTCCACAGGATCAGGGCGACGCTGACGGTGCTCGACGGCGAGACGGTCGAGGTCGCGGCCACGATCCCCAGCGAGCGCATGTGGAAGTACAGGGCCGGGCAGTACGTGTTCCTGCAGGTGCCCGCCATCAGCGCGTTCCAGTGGCATCCTTTTACCGTCTCCATTTGCAAGGGGCGGGAGTTCCGGCTACATATCAAGACGGATGGGAACTGGACGAAGCGGCTCCGTGATCTGGGCGGGAAAGGAGAGGGAGAAGCCGATGCGGCAACGGAGATTGAGGTGGGTATCAATGGGCCGTTTGGTGCGCCGGCTCAGCGGTTCTACGATTTCAACCATACCATCATCGTGGGTTCAGGCATCGGCGTCACGCCCTTCTCGGGCATCCTCGCGGACCTGCAGGCGCGTGACGACGAGGAGCACGGGGGCCCGACGCACTCGCATCAGCACCGCAACCATCAACACCGCCACGACTCGGAGACGACCGTCGTGACGGAGAAGAAAGAGACCAACGAGCGAAAGGGTTCAGAATCGACAGTGGCGGCAGCAACAACAACAGAAGCCCCGGATGGGAACGACCCCACGAAGCCCCCTAACCCATCAGAAGCCTTCACCTTCGCGCCCGACTACCGCCGCGTAGACTTCCACTGGACGGTCCGCGACCGCAACTACCTCCTCTGGATCGCCGACCTCCTCAACTCGGTATCGCGAAGCCAGGACTGGCACCGCCGCCACGAGGGCCCATCCCAGCACCTCGACATCCGCATCGCCACGCACGTCACCCAGAAACGCAGGGACATTGTCACGCACGTGTACCGCTGGCTTCTCGAGATGCACCGCACCGAGGAGCACCCAGAGAGTCCGCTGACGGGTTTGCTAAACCCGACGCACTTTGGGCGGCCCGACTTTGATGCCATATTAGATAGGCACTACGAGGACATGCGGAGGTTCCGCGCCAGCAAGAGGATGAAAGCGAACGCGGGCGGCGGGGCCGCAGCCGACAGCACGGCAGGCGCAGGGGACGAGGGAACAGACGGGAACCACCGCAGCGAAAACAGGGACGCTAGAGCCGACGACCGCGGTAGTACCCGAGGCGCTAGCGGCGAGCGGCGGGACGTGGAGGAGGAGGACGAGGAGCTAAAGGTCGGCGTCTTTTACTGCGGAGCGCCGGTGGTCGGGGAGATCCTGGCAGACAAGTGCCGGCAGCTTACGGTGCGGGGGCGGCACGACGGCAGCAAGATTGAGTATCACTTCATGATTGAAGTCTTTGGGTAATGGATTTTCTGCTCCGCGCCTCCGTACATGTAGCTTTGGCCGATAGCTTGGCCTTTGTCAATGGTTGGATTGAGCAGCAGACTAGAGATATAGTTCGGTCGGCCGCACTGGCGGGCGCTGGTATTAGCTGTTGGTCTGAGTTGGTTCTGAGTAAGACCAAACGCAAAATAATTGAGAAGAACCACAGAGGCACAGAACAGCAAACTCGTCTGGGGAACCGCTCGTGAGTTCGGGATTCCCTAGATGATCCTGTCTCCCCGACAGGCTGACGTGGACAGGCGACGAATCCTATTCAGGCAGGCCACGAGTTAATTGTATGGGACAAACTGCGTTTTCAGTCCCACTACAATGCCTATCTGTCGCCGTCGTCGTCGTCTTGGTTTAATCCAGAACGTGCACGCGCGCGCGCGGCCGTCGGAACTCTCGCCCTGCGTGAACGAGGATATCGAGTCGGGTTCAGGCCCGTCTCAACAGACGGACGCGCGCCATCGTCTAGGGATCTGTCGTAGGAGAAAAAACTCGCAGGAACCTGTGCACAGGGAAGGGGAAAAAAAAACGTTGTCTCCCCGCGTCGGGCCCCCTTTCTCTCCTCTCTCTCTCCAACCATCATCCCTCGTCATAAGTCCAGGTCGGCCTTTTTTGCCG